AAGGTTTGTTGCCGCTGGTAGCTGTGGAGATTTTACGTGTTTCTGCGTGTCCAGTTTCTTCCTGACCATTTCCATAGTTGATAATATATATTTTTTTTTGAGTAATTGCCTGTATTTGCCATGTATTGCAGAAGAGCTGTATGTTTCCGAGCGAGAGGGCAACGATTCCACTGGTGATGGGACACAAAAGAAACCGTTCAAGACTGCTTTAAAGGTAACTGCGGAAAATGCCTGCTGTTTGTTTGAAGAACGTGGACTGCGCTTTAGGGCAAGTGGTTGGCCTGGTATTTATAGAATCATGAAATCACAGAATGGTTTGGGTTGGAAGGGACCTTAAAGATCATCTGGTTCCAACCCCCCTGCCATCAGCAGGGACATCTTCCACCAGACCAGGTTGCTCAGAGCTCCATCCAACCCAGGTTGAACCCCTTGAACCCTACCAGGGAGGGGGCAGCCACAGCTTCTCTGGGCAGCCTGGGCCAGGGTTTCACCACCCTCATGGGGAAGAATTTCCTCCTAATATCTCATCTAAATCTGCCCTCTTTTATCTTACAGCTATTCCCCCTTGTCCTATCCCTACACACCCTTGTGAACAGTGCCTCTCCTTCCTCCTGTCGGCCCCTCCTGGCACTGGCAGGCTGCTATAAATGTAAATTTGATACCTGTCTTTGCAACTCTGACCACAAGCCTCAGAAGCAGGATGCCTGCTCCGTCTCTTTAAGGATGGCTTTAGTTCGCTTGCAGTGCTGATTCTGTTATGTTCTCCCCCTTTTCAGGCTTTGATGACAGCAGGAAAGGAACCGTTTCCTACTATTTATGTGGATTCACAAAAAGAAAATGAGGTGCTGTAGCATTAGAACTTCCTAGTAGAAATTATTTTTATGCTTCTTTGTGTGAAGGGATACAAATGTCATCTTTTATCTTCTGCTCTCTCCTTGGACTGATTCAGAGATGGGCCATTATTTCAAAGTCACAGATGAAAAATGTCAAAAAGCTGTGGCACAGGGAGCAAATGAAGAATGAAGCTAAGGAGAAGAAGGAGGTGGGTTGCAGGTGTGCCAGGGTGGAGGAGCGTACCACATTTCATTTCCAAAAACGTGAAACAGTGTTGCTGTTGTTTCAGCCCCTCCAAAAGAGCTTCTATTTGTTCTTCATCTGTGTCATTGTTTGACACGTACGCTATTCACAGCTTGCCTTTGCTTCGATTAGGGCAAGCGCATGGCTGAAAATAGGGGGAGTTTTGAAAAATTGCAGTCTGTTGCCTTTAGACTTTCTGGAAAAAATGTGAAATGCATCTGTGCATGGTTTCTCATCCTGGTCTTGAATTAGGGCATGGTTAGGCCCCAGCAGGGCAATATCAAGGCTTTTATGACGTCTCTGTCTATAAGTATACGTTGTAGTCTAAAGTAAAGAGTGGGAACCTTGCAAAGCCTGCTTACAGCTATTTAATACATTTTTTTTAAAAAAACCAGGCCGAAGATCTCTTGAGAAGAGAGAAGAACCTGGAGGAAGCTAAGAAAGTTGTTATCAAGAACGATCCTAGTCTTCCAGAGCCAAAATGTGTGAGTAAGATCCAACGCGCCTCAGAAGTGGCCTGTGTTACGGCGTCTTGCCTGCACAGAGGCTGCGTCTGTCTCTGCTGTGTGGCTCTGGCAGCTGTTGAAGGCCACTGTCTTTTTGCTGTCCGTAAATGTAACTTTGTTTTTCGAGTTATCTGTGTCCTCTGGTGTATAGACTGTGGTCTTCCTCGTGCACTGGATGGGTATCTGAACCTTCTTAGTTCACGCATCGGACTTCTCTGTGTCTGTCTGCTGGCAGAGACCATCCTTCTGTTTGAGAAAGTTCGCTAGTTTTGCTTTGCTTGATTACTGTAGTGGTGGAGAGTGAAGAAACAGTGCTGATTAGAGGAAGTAATTTAAGTTAATGAGCCGTGTTCTTATTTGGCTGTTTGTAGAGTCCTCCTGGATTTGTTGCAGTCCTTAGCTTAGTCAGCAGATGTTACATACGCCACTCTGTGGCGGGTTTTTGGGTAGACCCTGTGCCGAAGGGGTTTCCGTGCACGTGGAGGTGGTTTTGTTTGGAGCCCTGCACTCTCACGGCTGCTCTTTGGGACAGGGGCCGCCGGGCCCAGCTGTGCTGGCATCGGTCTCTTCGGGAGCGGTGCACTGAGTCCCGAGCCGCCTGAGGCGTGACCCGTTCTGACAGTGCCTGCTGGGTGAATCGTTGTGACTGGAGCGGTGTCAGTACCTCAGCTGCGTGTCTGCGTGTGCCTGCGTCGCGTCGGGGTCCTCTGCTTCTGTGCCTGCTAACTGAGCTTCTCTATGGAATGTCTTTAGAGATTAGTCCAGAGTGCATTCGGAGTGCCGGAAAATGTGTCTGAGGCATGCTTTCCAAGTTTGCTGGTGACTTAGTGCACATTGGATTTCCAGTAGTTTCCAAGAACTCTGGTCTTAAGGTGTGGGCTGTTACATGTTCTCACTTCTTTGGTCAAATGCAAGGTGAGCTTCTTTAAAAACTGTTACAGTCCTTAGTTTCCACATTGCAGAGCAAGCCTGCTAAATAGATAGGACTCAATATGAAATCTGGAAATGCTGTCTGAGCATACTGCTTGTGATATAACTACTGAGTGAAATACTCTTTCCTTACTAACCAGCTGTTCTGTATTGACAGCTGTGCTTGTACCCTGGGTGGAACTTTGCTTCGGGTGCTGCTGGGAGGAGCCGTTTGGGGGAGGGGGATGTCATATCCACTTATATTCTAAGTAACTGTGTGGAAAACACCATCTAAATGGTAACTCATTTCTCTGTTTGATTGCTTTTATTCCCTGGTGTACAGGTAAAGATTGACGCTCTAGAGGCTTACAGAGGCCAGAGAGTGAAGATTTATGGCTGGATCCACAGATTACGGAGGCAAGGTAAACCAAAAGCATTCGGAGGTTATTGAACCTGTGCAGAGAGATGGAGCAAATTCAGCAGCCTTCAAACTTTGGGCACTTACAGTGAATCCGAGGGCACCTCTTCTGAAATTGTTAAACCGTTAGTTAGATGTCCTCTTTGGTTTTTCGCAGTGGTCACTACAACACTGAAAATTCTGCTGATGTGTGAGCATATAGATGTATCGTAGTTGGAATCTTGTGGGATTTTCAGTTTGGAGGACAGTCCTGCAGAATTTCTTCGAAAGACTTGTTTTGTCTTTCAAACTGTTCCTGCAGACTGAGGAGCCAACCAGCATCTGCTCGTAGTGAAATCGAAAGTGGGAATGTTAAAGCTACGTGAAGTAGCATTACTTCATGTAAAACAAGTCCAGCAAGTAATACTCGCTGTCAGAATGGCTGGTGTTGTAGGCAGCAAGGTGGCGTCGGTCGGAGCATGGAAGCGCGTGGCAGAGGTGGTTCTGACTCCACGAGTATTTGTTCAAATTACCGCTGCGGGACGTGACAAAGCGGTTGTGGATCTGGGTATCGTGAGCAGTTTCCAGCAAATGATTTTTGTAAGAAGATACTTTTGTGGGGAGGTGGGTGACCAGCATGACGTCACTCTGTCCATGTTAGGCGTACCCTGGGCCTGTGCATTCGGCATTTCTGCAGCCGGACCTGTAGTCCCTCGGAGGGGCATCGGAGGCCGTGGCGTGGCGGTGCAGTCCCAGCCCTGTGGAGGCTGGAGCAGGCTTTGCTCCTGATGCCTGTACAGCTCTGTGAAAGGCTCCTGTGACTCTGCTTATGCTTCAGTGCTTACCTGGGGCAGCTTCGGTCTTTGAAATGGAAGAATGTGATCACAGTCCTTGGGTAATAATCTGCACGTCAGTGCTTAACAGGTCTTGGGAGTGAGTCTGCTTAAATGGATCGGTGAATAAAGCTGAGGCTGTCTGGGTTTTTTTCTTCTCTTTTTGCCTAGGAAAAAATTTGATGTTCATTGTTTTGAGAGATGGCACAGGTTTTCTTCAGTGTGTCCTTTCAGATGAACTGGTGAGTTGTGATGATTTAATTCTGTTCTGTCATTAAATAAGCAAAGTGTTCATATCTCATCTGGTTTTCTTTTATATAGGCGGCTGGAAGTTCTCCTAAACCTACTGATTAATTGTGTTATTGTTAAATTGTGCCTCCTACCACTAGATGTTTTTTTTCAATGAGAACTGTTTAGAAGTGACTATGAGTTAATCTTGTCTGTGACACCAATAGATGATGTAGGAAAACTAAAAATAAACACATTACCTTAACTGTGCTTTTGTCTCTTTTTCTCTCCGTAGTGCCAGTGTTACAACGGGCTGGTTCTCTCCACGGAGAGCAGTGTTGCAGTGTATGGTACCCTGAACCTTGTTCCTGAAGGCAAGCAGGTACGGGAGTTAGTGTTCTGGGGTTCTCCTCCTCTGTAACGGTTTATGGTTTTCCTGATGGAAGGAGGAGCGGAGGTGAAAATAGTTATTTAGATTATTTCAGTGGGAATTTGGCGTAAAGAAAAGAGCACCCCTCCCAGAGCTGCTGCGGTCGCCCACGGTTCAGTGTGTGACAGGTGAACTAGGTGACTGTTCCGCCTTTGCCTGAAACACTTTCCCACTGGTATGTCCCGTAGATATTTCCTAGAATAGAACAGTGGAAAATTATGTTAAATAAATGACATAGCTTTATTTTCACTGTAAGAGGTTTAATCGCTTTTATTTTGTGAGGCTAAGAATTAGGGATTAGCTCTCTTCTTTGACTAAGGTGGGTTTGTAGGCTCTTAGCCATGTCGTATCTGTCCTCCAGCACTTGGCAGCTGTGGGAACGGGGCAGTTTACCTTGCTTTGTAGAACTGATTATAATGGTGGTCTCAGGTTAATGACTGGGCGGGTGTGATTTAGGTCTCAAAATATGCTGCTGCTTATGCCTTGTGCCTCTCATGCCAGTCTAGATCTGCACGCTGTTACTGTTTGGAAGATTGCCTGGATCTGGGGTTAGGGCTAAAGCCACGTTAAGCGGCTATGCGTGAAGGGTGGCTGAGTTACAAAGCAGTCACTTTAAAAATACCACAGTTAGGGCTTTAGCATCTTTTGTATAAACTGGTTTAACATCTCTGCCACGATGCCAGATGGTGACATCCAAGGGGCAAAAAGTGGACTCCTGAAATTTCTGTTTCTCTTCAAATTGGTAGGCTCCAGGAGGCCACGAGCTGAACTGTGATTACTGGGACCTTATTGGTCTGGCTCCAGCAGGAGGGGCTGACAATCTTCTCAACGAGGATTCAGAGGTTGACGTGCAGCTTAACAACAGGCATATGATGATTCGAGGCGAGAATATGTCCAAAATCTTTAAGGTGCGCTCCGTGGTAGTACAGGCCTTCAGGGACCATTTCTTTGCCAACGGGTATTATGAAGTAAGTACATGTTTTCCCTTGTCAGCAAGTGACTGCTTTAATGTCCTGAGTTCAAGGCTGCCTTTTTTTCTTGCAAAAACTGTGTGGACTTTCTAATTGACCTGAAAGGGGCAAAAGAAAAGCTCATTCTTAGGAAACCATTATTGATCGCTTTCGTAGCCATAGATGTCATAGGTGTGTAGACGGGTCTGAGGTATGTTACAGCGTGATTGACAGCCAGCCTGCACACCTCTTTTTAACGTGCTGAAGGATACCAGGCTGAAGTAGTTGTGTGCATGCTTTGTAAATGGTGTTCTGGAAGAGTGTGCCCTACGTTGCTGCTCTTACGTGTTGTCATCTTTGTCCTTAGTTCTTCACTCAAGTGATGACAGTCCTGTTCTTTAACAGGTCACGCCACCAACTTTAGTCCAGACGCAAGTGGAGGGAGGCTCAACCCTATTCAAACTGGATTATTTTGGTGAAGAGGCGTACTTAACGCAATCGTCCCAGCTCTACCTGGAGACCTGCATTCCCGCGTTAGGAGATGTTTTCTGTATTGCTCAGTCCTACAGAGCTGAGCAGTCGAGGACCCGCAGACACCTGGCAGAGTATGGAGAGCGTGTACTGCTTTGCTATTTGTGTAGAAGTGAATTTATCAAGCAGAGGAGTAGCGGGCAGTTGGGTGACATAACGTCCAGTGAGCAGACAGCATAATGCTAATGCGGAAGGACTGAGCAAAAGTATATCTGGGGGGTGGTACCTTGTCTTGGTGAATGTCCAGCTGGTCATAATACGTTGGCATTCAGTGAAGGACAATCTGGGCGAAACAGAGCTGATGCATTTTTAGGAAGCTTTGTCTTTTTAGAAAGTACAGTTCGTATTGTTTTCTGTATTTATTTTTTAAATGGCTTTATTTCCTTTACGGTGTAGAAGTGGGAGAAATGAAGAAGGGGACAAAAGTTTGTGGTTTGGGTTGTGGGGATTTTTTAAATGAGATTTTTGTTGTAGCTGAGGGTTGGTTGCTTGTGTGCGGTTTTGTAATGGTGTGACTTTGTGTTTCAGGTACACTCACATTGAAGCTGAGTGTCCTTTTATAAGCTTTGAGGATTTGTTGGACCGTCTGGAGAGCTTGGTTTGTGATGTGGTAGACAGAGTCTTGAAATCACCTGCATCAAGCTTGCTGTATGACCTAAACCCGGTAAGCAGCGGTGTGGGACAGCCACAGATGGCCAAGAAAATACGATCTGTAGCCTTTCCTGATCAGCATGTTCGCCTGGGGAGGGCAGGGCATGGCAGTGAGCTCTGCTTGCTTACTGTTAGGCACAATGAGAAAAACACCAAATACCGTCAAAAGAATGAAAACGCTGCAAGGCTGGTGATGACTCTTCCAGAAGCAGGGGGCTGTGGGGGAAGAAGCTCCCTGCTGGCAAGTTCCAGGAGCCAGCAGTGTGCTGGGATTTATTGCAGTGTGTACTGTACCAGTGGAATAAAACCTCTATCCCAGAGCCCGTATTATTGATCAGCTGGTACTTACAGATTGAGCACAAGGGAGCAATGAAACAACTGGTGTTTTACTTTCTGCCCTGAAACGTGGAGCTCTGTAAAGCTGTTTTCGTTTGTTAGAGACCTCTTGTCTTCTGTTGCCTTTGCAAACAAGATGGCTTTAAGAGACGGCTAACTTCATCTCCGTCACTAGCGTTTCTCTCAGAGCGCATACAAAACTCAGTCATCCCTGTTATTTTGACCTGTTTTCCTGATACACAGTGGGAAGTTCAGTTTTGAATCTCGGCTCAGACACAGGAGGCAGGCGATGGCAGCAGCACAGCCCACCTCACAGGGGCAGTTCTGAAGCCGTTCTGTGTGCAGGGAAGCAAAAATGTTCTTTTGTGGCCTTGCGCATGGAACCGCTGCTGATGGCTCAGTTTGGAACACCGGTGTGTGCGGTGAATCCATGCGGGAAAGGAAACAGCTCTGAAAATACTTCCGCTCTTCTCTCTCCTGCCATCTTTTTCAGCATCTGTTCTGTGAGCTTTGCTGGGCTTGGGAGGTGGTTCAGTTTGGTTCTAGCTTTTCAGTACTGAGCTTGATGATTTTTTTTAAAGTAATATTTCAAAAGTATTCTTCCTTAAAAATGGTACTCTTGCAACTGTCTTTGTGTCTACTCTTATGTACAGGGCTTCGAGCCCCCTAAACGTCCTTTCCGACGAATGAACTATACTGAAGCCATTGAGTGGTTAAAGGAGCACGATGTGAAGAAGGAAGATGGCACTCACTATGAGTTTGGAGAAGTAAGTCTTTCCAAGGCGCTTTAGGAATTAAACCCAAACAAAATCCCACTGCCCTGCACGCAGGGTGTGTAGGTCCCTTGAAGAACAGTGTGTTTTGACCATGATGCTGTTGGGCTTACTGTTGCTGTGTGAATCTGTCGTGTTTGTTTGGAATTATACCGGTAAGGAGGGAAATTCTAGTCCCATTTAGGTTGAAGGGAGTTCTAAGATAAGCTTGTTTTAAAAATTTAGATACATTAGGATGAATGTGTGGATACGTGTACAGGTCTGAAACTGTTTGGGGTGTGATACATGTGGAACTCACGGTATTGGACTGGTTTTGGTTTTAAATTTTAATAAAGTCTTCCTCAACCTTAGGATATTCCTGAAGCTCCGGAGAGACTGATGACAGACACCATTAATGAGCCAATCTTGTTGTGCCGATTTCCTGCAGAGATAAAGTCGTTCTACATGCAGCGCTGTCATGATGATTCCCGGCTTACTGAGTCTGTGAGTTGGTGTTTCGTGTAGTGTTGCAGGCTTCGAAACAGAGTGAGGAATGTCAGTCTGAGTGAGCACAAAATGCAGAAGTGCTACAGGAAAACCTGGGAGAATTTTGACCAGGTTTTGTTTTGTGTGTCTCTTGTTATGGCTCGTTGATCCCATAGAAATAAACAAAGCAACTCTGAAGTGCTGACAAAATGTCGGTAGATCATAGTGAGGATGCTCTTCGCAGGCCTCAGGTCTAAGTGCTGGTCTAGTGACGATACTGCTGTGACTTCTTGGAGGCCACATTGTCTGACCATGAGCTGTCTGGCGGCCGGGAAGAGTGCGGTGGCAGTTAGGAATGCTGCTGGGTTTCTGGCTTTGTGGTGTGGTGTTCGTTTGGTTTGGTTTTTTACAGTTTGGTGTGGCCAAGAGTATGAGAGATTAAGTTAGAGCACCTCGTCAGTTACTTTATTTCATCTGCACGTTGGGTCTGCAAGGTATTCTCTGCCTTCCTGTCATGGACAATTAAAATTAGGTGGTAAAATGTGTTACAGAAAATACAGTTTTAAGTTGGAGCCATTTTTCCTCCCCCTCCTGCAGGCAGCTTAATTGTAACAGTTTTATCTCGTGTTGTGTGTTGTAGGTTGATGTGTTGATGCCTAATGTTGGTGAAATTGTCGGCGGCTCTATGCGTATCTGGGACAGCGAGGAGCTACTCGAAGGCTATAAGAGAGAGGGCATTGATCCCACGCCATACTACTGGTATACTGACCAGGTTTGTGAAACAGAGCAGATGTGCTGCTTGTCAGAGATCATATTTGATTTTTTTTTTTCTTAAACTGAGCTTAAGATGATGCAGTCTAAATTGGAAACACATTTTTGGTGGCCCGAAGTAGACAGTTATTTATCCATTGGCAAAGCGCAACAGGTAACAGTTCCCGTTCTGCTAACGCTCCTGCCGTTTGCGGCAGTGCCACGCTGCCCTTAGGAGATCGCCTGCGTTAGGCTGGTCTGGGCGGGGGTGTTCCTCTCATCATGCCTTCTGCACTGCTTGTGAAGCCCCTGTTGTTCAGTGAACAGAGGGTGGTCTTCACAGACCTGAATGGCTGAGCTCTAGCCAGCATAAGGGGAGGAGAAAAGGAGGCGGTTGAAGAAGAATCCTTACGACTTCCTTTGTCACCTTCCTTTTTCCTCTTCTAGTCCTTACACTGCCCTGGGAAACTCAGGACAACTAAACACAAATCTCGTGCCTGGAAAGAGCGTAGTCTGTTGTCCTCATCATTCAGAAAATAGTCTTGGAAGGATTTGGTTTGGTTTTTATCTGGTGGTGTTACTGCAATTATAAATAACAAGAAAATGTGTAACATCTAGTCTCTGACTTTAATTTCACAGAGAAAATATGGTACGTGCCCTCATGGTGGATATGGCTTGGGGTTGGAAGGGATCCTAACCTGGATTCTGAACAGACACCATATCCGGGACGTCTGTCTCTACCCGCGCTTTGTCCAGCGCTGCAAACCATAGCCGTCCTGCGAGAGACTGCTGGGGGAGGAACCGTGCGCTCTGCTGTACTGCGGCCTGTCCGAGAGCAAGGCTTGCTGCAACCTGTTGCTAATACAAATACTAATTTAGGATGTGAAAAGGAAAAGAAACAAACCCTGAACAGACACCATATCCGGGACGTCTGTCTCTACCCGCGCTTTGTCCAGCGCTGCAAACCATAGCCGTCCTGCGAGAGACTGCTGGGGGAGGAACCGTGCGCTCTGCTGTACTGCGGCCTGTCCGAGAGCAAGGCTTGCTGCAACCTGTTGCTAATACAAATACTAATTTAGGATGTGAAAAGGAAAAGAAACAAACCCCTTTTTTAAAGGTAAATGCTACTGATTAACTGGAAGAAGCCTGAGAAAAAAATGCCTAGGTGCATTTATGCTCTCAAGTAAACATAAAACAAAGATCCCGATAAGCTGTCATTTAAAAACCAAGGTACACTTCTGCTTTTAATTTCTGTGACCTAAAAGAAAATATGCTGGGCATTTGATGTTGTGGGGTTTTTTTTTCTAATTTGCTTTAATTTTAATCTGTTTTCTCTTGTGGTTTCGTGTTGGAGAAATCAGGAGTATGAAGAGACATCATCTAAATATCTCAACAGAGTATAAGAATGGGAATAATTCTATCATGCGCTACACTTCTTTTAGCTCCTACTGTTCTTAACAAGTTCTGTTTGAGCTTATTTAGTAGCAAGGTGTGTAGTATTAGAGCACAAAACTCCACTGCGAGAGACAGTTTTGGGTTTTCCCCCCCCACATTATTTATTTTTTAGAAGTGCTGAGGCTGGTGGTGAGGTGCGCTGCGTGTGGGTCCCTGCACACCCAGCCTGTGGAGGAGGGCATGTGCTGGCAGAGCGCTCCATTGGCTCGTGGGCGCTGGCATGTCTGTGGTGCCTTCCAGATCGACATTCTGCCGTCTCTTTCAAACCAGAAGTGGCTGGTTGAAGACCCAAAGAACCTGTAACTATGAAATACAATTGGATTTCAGCATGGTGTGCTGACTCGGTTGCTGCCCTCTCTGGGAGAATTGTAGTTCAGGCAGGGCTTTCCCACTTCATGCTGAGGTATGTTTTCGTGGTAGAGCAGTTCCATGCTTCCTAGCTGGCTCCGTGTTCTCTTGTGCTACTGCATCTCAGCAGCTTCTCTGGTTGTAATCAAGTTATCGGATAGGTTTAATTAAATATTTAATGTCTTGCATCATCTGTGTGCTTTTTAGTCATAAATAAAGCAATTCCTTTGATTAAAAAGAAAATAAATTGGTAGGTGCATCATTTGCTACCTGCACTGAGGCTTGATCCAGATTTGCCATTCACAGAATGCTGAGCTGTGTGATACCCATATTTTTGTAATAAATGACTGGGTTTCTTCATCTTGCATGTCACATATATAAACTGGTCTAAATCAGCAACCAATAAATTATGGCAACGTAAGCTGGCGTGCAAGACAGTAGTTCTTGACCTGTAATGTCTGTTTCTTTCCTTCCACTTGGCTTTTACAGCTCGCTTGCTTCACACAGTCTGTCCTGGCACGGGCAATACCCATGTGGGCAAAAGCACAGGAAAAGGGAATTTTCAAGTGCAGTAAACGCATTCCAAAAAATGGAACTAGCTTTTTTCTTTTTAACTAAATCCCCATTCATTAACTTAAAGGTGTGGATTTTTATAATTTGGATAGACCACCTCAGCCAGCCAGCTGGAACATCCTGGAGAGGCGAAAGGAGAAATGCGGCGCTGAGTAATTGGTTGCCAAGGCAGCAGCTCCAGGGGGAGCGGGCCGTGACTCCTGGCTGGGGCCGGGTTTGTCAGCAGAGTCAATCTCCGCCTCGCCAGCTGATACAGCTGGAAGGAAGGTGTGAGGTTATTTCCAGAGCTCTTGAGCGTCTGGATGTAACGTCTTGGGGTTTGTGGGGCAGCGCTGTGGCGTTGCTGTGCCACCTGAGGGGTGCCCCTTTGAAGGGTAGGCGGGTGGGGGCTGCATCAGGATGACTGAAAGATGCTCGAAGAAACGGGCATTGCTAGGATGCTTTGCTTTCCTACCCAGCTCTCTTTGAGTTCACTCTTTTCACCTATTTTCCTTTTGTCGCCACAATAGAAGAAAATCATGTACAGTAACGTGACGCAGCGCTCTCTCATGTTTTTGATAGGTTGTTCTTTGTCTGAACATAGAACTCAAAAGATGCTTTTAAATGTCTGCCAAAGTGTAGTCAACTGTACCTGTCATGTGATTTGGGGTATTGCTGCATACCTGTTAAGTACATAAGCTAGAGGAAGAGGAGGAAGATTAATGAGCTTGACTGCAATGAAATGCTCGCAGTTTCTTACTTCTTTCATGACGACTTACTGACAGCAAGCTACAGGAAAAGTCACCCCAGTCCGACAGTTGACCACGCTACCAAATAGTAATCGCACCCCTTGGGCTTCTGCTGTGGTGAGATGCTGTTGTTGTTGTTAGTGTTGGGGGGGCTGGGTGTTTTGGGGCGGGAGGAGAGCTGAGGAGGCTTTTGTAATTCAGAATGTTGAGGAATTTATGAGCATGTCAAGACTTTTTATGAAAAAAAACTTCCTTCAAGTGCCTGAAGTGATGGGAAGGGAGGAGAAAGGTTGGGAAAAGATACTACTGGATAATTGCCACTCGTTTGCCATCAGTTTTCTGTCCTTAAAACTGTCAGGGCGGAGCTGCGTTGTAAAGGTTAAAAGCCTTGGTGTCAGGGGAGCTACTAGAGGAAGGTCTGAGGACTTAAGAGGTGCTCGTGGAAGAGGCAGATCAGATAAGGAGCTTAAGAGGTGACTGGGATGAAAGATGCTGTCGAGTGGAACTTAACAGAGGCGGCTGTGCAGTTCCATAATCTGCTCGCGGAGCAGAGGTGGTGCTGGGCCAGCCACCTGCGCGGGGAAAAGCCCTGAGTGAAACCAAAGCCAGCGCAAAGCTGCCGGTGGAGAGGTGAAATTCCTCGGCAGCCGCTGAAACCTGGCCGACAGAGCGGGGTCGTGCTGAATGCTGCCCCGAGCAAACCTCCGCTATGTTAAATAGGGTTGGCGTAGCTCCGCGTTTGTCATCGAGGCTCCGTTCAAGTTTTTGATCATGAAGAAAAAAAATGGCTTTTAGCGATTGAAGAATGACAAATGTGTTTTGGTTTTATTGCTGTGTCCCGTCAGTTGTGGTTTTGTACGGTGTCTTTATTTCTTTTTTTTTATTGTGTTCCTACAAGACCTGCTGTTTGATTATATCTCCAGTGATTTAAAAGTGACGCTGATCCCGGGTGTTTCTGGCAGCTGGTTTCCAAGCTCTCCGGCAGTAAAGCGTTTCGATTCGAAGTTCTTGTTCAGGGCTGATGCAATCACGTTTGCTGCTAAACATGCTCTTTGGGCGAGCAGCGTTCCCAGGTCCTTCCCGTCCGAGTTTGATGTTTAAGTCCTCGTGCCTGACACAACTAGTTTGTATATGTGGGCGATACTGGTCAGACGCTGGGGGAAGCGAAGCAGATCGTGGGTCTCACTGGCCGTCAGGACTGCAGGGACTAGAGGGAGCATCAGCTTCCTCAGGGCTCCCTCACGCGCCTTCATTTTGCCTCAAGGTGTCTCCGCACGGTCAGGTTGGTAATTGGATTGGGAACTGGTGAACCGGACTGCCAGCACTGGCTCCAAGGCCCTTTCAGCCTTGTAACTGGCGGCTTTGAGATCATTATCGTGCTGCTTTGTTTAGATTACATCTCCTTACATGCGTTATTTTATATTTATCTTCATTAGAACTCATGTGGCCACC